AGCTATGATCATACCACTGCACTCCATCCTGGGCACCAGAGGGAGACTCTGTCACTAAAAAAAAAAAAAAAAAAACCAGGCTCGATGCCTCAGCCTGTAATCCTGCGCCTTTGGGAGGCTGAGGTGAGTGGATTGCCTGAGCCCGCAGGTTCGAGACCCGCCTGGGCAACTTGGTGAGACCTCATCTCTACAATAAATCAAAAATGAGCTGGGCGTGGTAGTGTGCGCCTGTAGTTCCAGCTACTTAGAAGGCTGAGGCAGAAGGATCACCGGAGCCCAGCAGGTCGAGGCTGCGGTGGCCGGGAGTGGCCACTGCACTCCAGTCTGGTGACAGAGTGAGACTCCAACTCAAAAAAAAAAAAAGAAGAAGAAGAAAAAAAAAAATTAAACATAGACTTAGCAAATGTACCAGCAATTAAATTAAACATAGACTTATATGACCCAGCAATTACCATTTAAGTATATACCATGAGAATTGAAAGCTAACCTAAAAACTTGTACTTGGACATTCACAGTAACATTATTCATAATAGTCCCAAAGTGAGAACAAACTTAATGTCTATTAGCTGATGAACGGATAATCAAAACGTGGTATATAGCCGGGCTCGGTGGCTCAGCCTGTAATCCCGCGCCTTTGGGAGGCTGAGGTGGGTGGATTGCCTGAGTCCGTGGGTTCGAGACTAGCCTGGGCAACTTGGCGAGACCTCATCTCTAAAATAAATCAAAAAATCAGCTGGGCATGGTAGTGCGCGCCTGTAATTCCAGCTACTCCGAAGGCTGAGGCGGAAGGATCACCGGAGCCCAGCAGGTGAGGCTGCGGTGGCCGGGAGCGGCCACTGCACTCCAGTCTGGGCGACAGAGTGAGACTCCAACTCAAAAAAAATGTGGTATATCCATTCAGTGGACGATCATCCAGCCATAAAGGAATGAAGTATTTATACGTGCTACAACATGAATGAACCTTGATTACATTATGGTTAGTGAAAGACGCCAGACACAAAAAGCCACATATTGCATGATTTCCTTTATATAAAATGTCCACAATAGGCAAATACATGGAGACAGAGAGTGAACTTAAGGTTGTCGGGTTGGTGGGTGATACATGAGAAGGAACTGTTAGAGAGTATGGGATTTCTTTTTGGGTGATGAAAATATTCTGGAATTAAAGTGGCAATCGTTGCATAACTTTTTAAAAATTGTTTATTTATTGTAGAGACGAGATCTTACCATGTTGCCCAGGCTGGTCTCAAACTCGCAGGCTAAAGCAATTCTCTCACCTCAGTCTCCCAAAATGCTGGGATTACAGGTTTGAGCCATTGCACCTGGCCACAATTTTGTAACTACACTAAAAATCACAGAACTGTATACTTTATTTATTTATTTTTGAGTTGGAGTCTCACTCTGTCGCCCTGACTGGAGTGCAGTGGCCGCT